TCTCTACCTCAGCACCACTGACATTCGGACGAGACACTTCTTTGCCGTGTGGGGCTGTCCTGTGCACTGCAGGATGTTTAGCAGGGTCCCTGACCACCTGCTAGATGCCAGTAATGGTCCTCCAAGCAGCGACAATCAAAAGTATCTCCAGACATTGCCAGATGTCCCCTGGGGTGGCAAAGTCGCCCCCAGGTGAGGACCACAAGCTCAGAGCCTTCCTGTGTGGGCATTAATAGCTAAAGAACAATGGCTTTACTCACTAGCTGGGGAGACCTGGGACCCCCAGACTTCCTAAACACTTACGGTTTTGTTCCGTACACTGAAAAATATTAGGAAAACACAGAAAAGTTGACAGAAGCAAATAAAATTCACCTATAATCCCACACTCGATGGCTAATCTCTCAATAATTTGGTGTACTTCCTTCCAGTCTTTTTTCTGCATTTTATAATCCTAACAGCTATGGCTTATGGAGCACTTACCCCATCCCAGGCATCGGGGAAGGCTTGGCTGAGTGGCAGGTGGGGGTGGGATATGGAGGGAGGGTTTGGGGAGCCTTTGCCCAGATCAGCTGCCAGATGAACCACCCGCAGGGCTGGCAGTCCCCCCTCCAAAGGGACAAGGGACTGGAGTAAACTTGGCATACCACCTCCTGACCCCCATTTCCTGTCTACCCTCCTTCCTTCCCTGCGCCAGAGCTGAAGTTAGCAGAGTCTGGTTTCTTAGCAGTGCGACCTGCTAGAGCCAGCGGTCCAGCTTTCTGAACCTCAGCTTCCATAGCAGTAAAGTGGGATAATAATTGTCCCAACGTCACAAGTTGTTGTGAGGTCTGAATACGATCAGGCAGATAAAGCAGTTGGCGTGGGGCTGGGCATGGACTGAGTGCCCAGTAAATTCCAGCTCCTGTCCCAGCCATCTCTCTCTGTCCTGGGTTCCAGCTCTGCTGTGTCATTGCTCTCTGCAAGCTGGGCTCGGCTTTGTCACTCTCCCAAGTCCCAATGCCTTCCCTCAGCTACCAGAAGCCACAAAGAGTGACTGACAGGGGACTTCCAGATGCCAGGACAGGTCTTCAGGGGTGGGAGTTTGGGGCATGGGATTCCCCCAGAACCCCGCTGTGATCTCAAGGATAGCGTAATTTAGTGGTAAGAACGTGGCTTTGGGTTCCAATCTCAGATCCCCATGTAAGACCTGGGACAGGTGACTTCACCTCTCTGAGCCTCAGTTTCCTCTTCTGTAAAATGGGGAGAATCCTAGTTCCTCCTTCCTAGGCTGTTTGAGGGGATCCATGGAGGTGAGGCAGAGTCTCATGCTCAGTGGACGAATGGGGAGATTCAGGGGGTGATGTTCAAGGGCAAGGGGAGGTCTGGACAAGGGGAAGGACACACTGAGATGCAGGAGCCAGCCTATACCAGTTTCTGAGAGGCAGCTGTCAAATTTTCAGAATTTTGTGAGTCAGTTGTTTCACAGTTAAGTTACATTATATTAAAAACCAAGGTCCTCAATACTCAAAACTCATCACTGCCTCATGATTTTACTACATCCTACTATTACCTACCCTGTTGGCATTATTTACCTTTTCGTATCATCTACCATATAAATGGTTGGTTTCTCAAAATCAGCCATGGGAGCATTTACAGCAAGGAAATTGGCAAGCACTGCAAATCGTACCTTGGGCACCAATCCACCCAAGGAGCCAGTTGTTAAATATATACCAGCACCCCACTGGGTTTGGAGCTGGGTCCTGTTTGAACCGTCCCTCCTTCATCCTCAGAGACTGGACCAAGGGAGCTCCAGGCTGCCATTGGCTCCAAGAGCTGGTGGCGGGCGCCCCCTGGTGGCTGCTTCAAGCACCCACCATCCCTGCCGCTGACAAATCCTGCACCTTGAAGAGAAGGCGGCAGAGGGGTGGTCCTCTTCCAGTAGAGATGGAGAACCAACGTCCTGGAGCAGAGGCGCTCCGGGAGCCCTCAGGGGAACGCGGATACCTGCTTCTTGCCCAGATGGACGGGGAAGCAAGACCCCAGAGGGACTGCCCAAATGTGCCCCCAAGTCCTTCAGCCTCTGGGTCCCCATCGCCGTGATGTGGAGCTCCCCATCTGACTTTTCTGATCACTGCCAAAGGCGAAGTGAACTTCTGTTGTTCCCTTAGGAACCGGCCTTCTGCAGGGTCAGCTGTTCCCGCCCACGGCAGACAACCCTCCTCACCGGCGCCCCTGGCAGAGCACCTTGAACACAATTTCCTGTGTATCACACTTGTTCTAGAGGTTCAGGGGTGGGGTGGGGGAGGGTAGAAGCAGACAATTCTCTGCTTATCCCTGATTCTGTCCCCCACGGCCCTGCTGCCTTTCGTGCTCCTCCTGCCTTTCCCAGGGAACAGTCTCTCCTGTTCCCCCAACCCGTCTCTCCGAGCTGCAGCCAATACCCTTCAGATTCAACATTTTCTCTGAACTCTCTCTCTCCAGGTTATGCCCTGGAGTGGAGGGGTCCTGCATTCCCAAAGAAGCCCCTGGAGGTATTTTTCTAGAAGAGAAAAAGTCCCCTGAGATGAATGTTTTAGAAGGTAGAAATGTGTGTGTGTGTGTGGGTGGTGTGTGTGTGTGGTGTGTGTGGTGTGTGTGTGGTGTGTGTGTGTGTGGTGTGCGTGTGTGTGGTGTGTGTGTGTGGTGTGTGTGGTGTGTGTGTGTGGTGTGTGTGTGGGGTATGTGTGTGGTGTGGGGGGTGTGTGTGTGGGGTGTGTGTGTGGTGTGTGTGGTGTGTGTGTGGTGTGTG